TATAAAAAAAAAAAAAAATAAATAAAAAAATATATATATATATAATAATATATAATAATAATAATAATATATAAAAATAGTTTTTATACTTAACTTAATTATAATTATAATAACAATGTTCAAGTCGGATGTATATGTATAAGTATATATATATTATATATTAAGTCGGATGTATATATATATATATATATATATATATATATATATATATATATATATATAATATATATATATATATATATATATATATATATATATATATATATATATATATATATATATATATACATATATAAATATATATACATATATATATACATTTTGCCAATTAAAGTTCAACGTTGAATTAACGTAAATACAACGTTTTATTTTATACGTTGGGCCAACGTATAAAATAAAACGTTGAATCAACGTAGAAAATATAACCAATTTCCGACTTTAAATAAACGTTTTATCAACATTGGTTTTTAGTTGTTGGCGACGTCGCATTTGTAACCATAATGATATAAAAACAACGTTAGCAGCCGATGTTGGGCAAACGTAACGCGCGACGTTGTTCTAATGTTTCAATAACGTATGCGTGCTAGCTGGGACTGATTGCAATTGTTTCAATTTAAATGTAGTTAATTTCGAATTACACTTATCCGAACAAAAGGCTTGTTTTAAAACATTATCAATGTTATTTTACATAAATCAATTAAGTTACTCTCATTTCAACACTCAAATATTCTTTCTCAATACATTCAAATTAATCTGATGTTGTGAAATTGCATTTAATTCTTTTTCTTTTTAAGTTCTTTGAGAATTAAATTCTATATAAAAATTTTATTTCGATTTCGAAACAAATGAAAAACTTTTTTATTTTATTTAAAAATAATTAATACTCATCTTAGAGTAAAAACGTCATGTCCAGTTTTCGAAAGCATGATTCAGGGTCCGGAGGCAAAAAAAAAGCTGCAGAAAAAGTTGTTAAAGAATCCAAAAACAAACGTGTACTGGAAGAGTGTGACTTCGATAAAGTTCAAAAAAAAGGCATCTAATAACTTCCGACCAAGTTGTCAAGGTATAGGTAAACAGCTTTATTTTTTCACTCATAATCTTATATACATAACTTCATTCCAAAACTGTAAAAACGATTTTTTCTTAGACGGATCATGCTACCAACAGCGTTGTTGAACCGTTGAGTCCAAGAAAGCCATTTTCCCTTTCAATTTTTTCAACGGTCTCTGAAGAAGAAGATGATAATCAAGCGAGTTTAAAACGCATTCTTGTTTTATGAAAAACCTGGAGATACTAAAAACATAACATTTAATATCTGCAGATTCAAAAAACATATCATTTAATATCTGCAGATATTAAAAACATACCACAATTCTCAAATGCTTTTTTGAATTTAGGATTATGAGGCAATTCAACTGGGTGATGAAGCAGTTAGAAACGACCCCGCTATATGGAAGAGGTTTTTTTTCCAAAGTCGAACGCAATCTAGTCATTTTAAATAAACCACCTTAAAATCCGGCACTTTTTTATAGAGATTCTACAAACAAAAAAGTTTCTGCTTCCGTTTTATACAAAACTTCTCTCAACGGAGAGAAGATTAACAGAGGTACTGCAAAAACTTTCTTTTATTTTCCCTGCTCTATTTTTGGATAAAAGCATAATTTTAGTCCTGGTTTTCAGTCTCTTGATGTGGAATGGCGGAATAAAGGATAATTGGCGAAGGCTAGGAGAAAAGATTAAAAGCCACCAGTTTAATGTTCAAGACAGAAACCACTACATCTTCTGGAAATCTGCCTTTGAAGCCTTGAAAAATCAGACCGGAATCGATTCAGAACTTAAAAAGTCATTAAGAAATGAGGGATCTAAGTAGTACGACAATATTACGCTGCGTGCTAAATGTCACTCCATTTAGTTTCAAGAAACTTAGGTTTTCGAGGTGTGTTAGCAGTTTGTAATCTTTATTTCAATATTATGTTCATATTTGTGTAGGTTCATCAAACATGCTGGACGAATATGATAATGGTAATTTTTTAGCCACCCTTGAACTGTTGGGAAAACACAATAAGACACTTCAGTTTCATCAAGAAGAAGTTTTTCAAAATCAAAAAAAAGGAACAAGAATGTAAGCTTACTATTTCAGCTGAAGAACTCAAAATGAGTTCATTATGACATGTAGTGGAACTGTTTTTGCTGCTATTATCGAAGAGGTCCACACAGCCATTTATTTTTCCATTTTTGTTGATGGAACTCCGGACGTGTCTCATTCGAAAAAAATTACTTTCGTTCTTCAATTTTTTTGCCTAGGATCTGACAACCAATGGATAGTAAAAGTTTTCTAAAGACAGAAAATCTGGAGAAAAAAAGAGTTCTGACATTGTGAAGTTGAAAATGTTTTGGATCAAAGCCGAATTGATTTAAAGAACTGTAGGGACCAGGGATATAATAACGGGACTAATATGTCCAGTTTATACAAAGGAGTGCACGCCATCATTCTTGAGAAAAATCCTTAAGATTTATTTATGCCTTGCAGTGTGCATATCTCAATCTAGCTGGTGTTCATTCTGCAGAATCCTCTACTGTATTTAAGAACTATTTTGACAACATCCAATTGTTGTAAAACTTTTTAGTAGTAGCCCCATGAGCTGGAAAATTCTAACTGAGGGAACTGAACAATCCCTTCACTAAACGTCTCAAACAAGTGGAGTGCGTGTATAGTGGCTGTCCGGTCATTGTTGAAACGACCAAAAGAAATACTAAAGTCTATCAAACTTCTTGAAGAACTTGATTTAAAAAATCATCAGCTGATTTTAGTTAAGGCACTTAAAAAATGAATTCAATCATTTGAATTTATTGTCTTGACTTCTTTCTGATTGAAGGCTTTCCTATGTGTCAACGATGTCTTCCTCCTTCTTCAATCAGAAAGCATTTCTTTGGATAGCGAGACAAAGGTTTTAAAGACTCTAATCGATGATCTTGACTAACTACGTTCTTTTTTGGCCCCAGGATACAGCTCAAAAAACGACGGATATGTTTTGTTCATATGGTGTTCTCAATTTCCTTCTAATGATGAAAATAAAATTTAGTCAGAAAAAAAAAAAAGCAAAGTCCTGGCAAATCTCTAAGTAAACGATTTAAAAGAAAAGAATTTGATTGAAGAAATCCGTCATCTAGATGTTCTGAAGCGATCAAATACTTTTGGAAAAATAGAATTTATTTCTTCCATCAAGTTGCTCAACAGAATCTACCAGAAAGGTCTTCAGTCAATATTTCCATCGATTTGCGTTTTCCTTTGCATTTTTAATACAATCCCGATTTTGGTTTTTAATATTTTCGTATTTTGATTAATCCCGGTTGAAGAAGAACAGTCTTTCAGTAAGCTTGCTCTCATCAAATCCAAAGTGCGATTAACAATGGCCGAAGAACGCCTTACTAACCTTATGGTGATTTTAATAAAAACGACCTTGCCAAGACTTTATCTTGCGAAAATGTCATCTCTAGTTTCGCAAAGAAGAAAGCCCTCAAAGTGTAATTAGTGTGATCTGACTAGCCTTCATAATTAACATTTTATTGATGAAATATATAATTCTATTCATTTTAATGGTATTTGTATTTTTGTTTTATCATTTATAACCAAGTTCAAATATAGAGTGTTTATATGTAGCAATAGTTAATACAAAAATAATTATTGTTTTCATTAAATTGTAATGTGATAGGACGATAAACATTTAAATTCATGCCTAATTCAATATACCAAATCCAAAGTATAATCCAAAGTTTAGGTCACCGAAAAAAAATTGACCCTGGGCATCACAAAGTTTCTGTGCGGGCCTGGATTTAGATCAACTTCATCGTATTTGCTAAGAAACAAATGGCGGAATTAAAAGAACTTTGATTTTTTTTCGCAGTAGTTTCTTTTTAGTATTTTTATTATATGAGGAATTTTTATGAACTCTTTAAATTATAAACAAAATAACCAAAAATATAAAAACTTTTATCTTTTTGGTTAATTTGTCATCTAATTTATAACTGGTTTTTCACGATTTTTTTTTAATGAAAATAAAATGCAATCAAAGTTCTAATCATTAAAAAGAATGTTTTTCGAATTTTTATTTTCGAATGTTTTTTATGGAGCTGTTAAGTTTTTAGTTTTCGTTTAATAGTTTTATTTATTAGCAAATATGTGTTTATCTTTTATAAAAACTGTGGAATAACTTTGTTAAAAATGATACAAAAAGCGTAATTTTTAAAAATATTTTAAAGAGATTTATAAGAAGAAATTAATAAAAATTGATAGAAATACGAAAGGCTAGTAAACGCATTTAGATGAAACCATCGATAACCAGAAAAACAATCTACCATTACCAATATAATTTGATGAAAGATAAAGAAAGTTCAAAGTTATAAAGTTAGTATAGTCTATAAAGTTATTCTGAGACAACTTTGATAACTTTGGAGCAAGTTGTTCCAATAGTTTATTTTTTTATATTTACAAATTCATCTTTTGACTCTTGATCGTGTCTAAGCGGGCATTCGGTTCGAAAAAGTCTTTTAGAACTTTAAAAGACGTTAAAAAGATGTCTAATTTGAACGATGTCTGCTGGGGTTCGAAAGTTTTTCTTTATTTAAGTTACTTAATCGCCAAAAAACGGCAACAAAAAACCGAAGGTAAAATTTATTCATTTTTTGTACATAAGATAAATGCTAAGTAACATAAATCAATACCGATTTGCATCGCAATTATTAATGCTCCTCTCAATATACTTTAAATTTTGTTTACTAAGCCTTGAATTTTAAAATCAAATAAATTTATTCTTGTTTTAAAAATAAATTTTTAAAGCAAATTTAAAAATAAAATCAAATAAAAAAATTCTCTGAAAAGCGTATAGTTTTGATGCGACCAACTCAAACGTAACCAATTTTTTTAAAAGTAAATATTAGGTTTTAGCAAAGATTGAATGTACATAAAAAACTATTTTGAGTAAACTCAATCTTGGCTAGAACAAAGTGGTAGTATAGGTAAGTGGTAAATATCGCCTATTAAAAAAAAAAGTATTTTAGCCTAGTTTAATAGAGCGGCAAGAGAAAAGAAATTCCAGCAAAATAAAGTTAAAAAAAAAAGAAAATATATAAATACTAAAAATTTGTTTGTTTGTTTTTAAGCGCTACTAATATGACTTTTTGTGACACTTGAGCCCCAATATTTCATCAGTTCAAAGTAAATTTTATTTTTTCAATATATTTTGTATAACTTTTTTTACTTGTAATATTAATATCATTTTTATAACGGGTAGCTTGAAACCAATAAATACAATGAAGACTTTTTTTGTCGATAAACAAATATATTCGCCGTATTATTGAAAAAGCGAATTCTTCTAATGTAAGTAACACAACTTAAAAATATTTTATAAAATTGTTCATATTGTTTATTAATTAATTTATTATTTGTGTGTGTGTGTATCCGCATACTAACTAATTTTTAAATGAATTTGTGCTGGCAAATGACGAGAAATCACGTTAAAAAGATGATTAATCACGTTGCGTGTGATAAATAGTTCAATAAATATTTTTATTTATTTTGCTGTATCATACGAAATTGAGGTTTTAACATGTTTTCAGCCCCCCCCCCCAACTTTCAAGACCTTTCTACGCCACTGTGTGAATATATATATATATATATATATATATATATATATATATATATATATATATATATATATATATATATATATATATGTATATATATATATATATATATATATATATATATATATATATATATATATATATATATATATATATATATATATATATATATATATATATATATATATATATATATATATATATATATATATATAAACAATGTTTATATATATATATATATATGTATTCTACAAAATAGAATAAATGTATTCTACAAAATAGAGTGCTCAATGTTCTTAAAAGAACAGAGCAATTATATATTAGTAGAAAATTACTTAACAAAAATTTTTTTTCATTTTACACTGTGTTTCATCAACAAAGACTCATCAGAAATGAATTTCTGATGAGTCTTTGTTGATGAAACACAGTGTAAAATGAAAAAAATTTTGTAATTAAAGGTCAATATTGAGAACAACCTTTTATTATATTATTATAATAAATAGTATAATAAAAGGTTGTTCTCAATATTGACGTGAAGGTTCAACTTGTAATTGATTAGAGCAGCATCAAAACTGGTTTATGATCGGTGTACCTCTGTACCTCTGATATTAAATAGACACATTAATGGCAGCAAATAATGTGTCTATTACTATTTAGCGAAGAATAACCGTGTTTGGAAACTGATGTTTTCAAGTTTCTAACAGGAACTTCTTTAAAATGTAGTAAGTTAAGTTACATTAAGAAATATATATTTATTATTAAAACATTTTGATGACTGTCAATACTATTTGATTGATAGGGAAAAATGTTTACCTTAGGTGGGTATAAAAGTCACACCTCTTTGAAAGCTGTAAATTTCCTTATCCTCAATGGCATAGAAGTAATACGACTGATCATCAATTGCTTTACTTTGGGATTCTTTCCACCTTATTTTTTCCAGTGTATCGAATAATGAAACGAGGATTTATGGTATATGTGTTTTCTAATTGTAGGCTGCACCCTCTCCGTAACTCTGTGAAGGAACACAGGTTTAAAAAGTAGAAAGAATAAATTTAAGCAGATACAAAGAAAGATACAAATTTCAAGAAGATACAAAGCTTCCGCTACTGAGAAAAACAGTTTTTTCTTCAATAGATTTCGAATCTAACTTGAATATAATGATAAAAAGGTGTTTAATGATGTTGTTAATTGTTGTTAGGAAGCTGTAACGTTTTTTGCTTTAATTTAAAGTACATTCACCAATTTTCTTCATCAACACTTCGCTGCAATTGTGTTTTAAACACCATCGTTTTTATCGTGTTTAAAAACAATCTTCAATTTATTGTTATTGAAAAATTAAAAAAAAAAAATCTATACACGATAAGCTATTATTTAATGTAAAACTTTCTTAAGTTTCTAAACCTCAAATCGTAACTAATATATTAAACTCCTAATGGTGAGAAATATATATTATAATAGCAGTAGTAATAAATAATAGTTTACTTTAAACGTCTTAAAAACGTTCAAACTAGTAATAATTAATAATAATTTATTTTAAACGTCACATAAACGATCTAACCAGTAGTAATAAATGTAAATTTATTTCTACTGGTATTTTAAAATCACAACAATTAATAATTTATTATTACTGCTATTTTAAAGTCACAACAAATTCCCGGTTAGAAATGAGCGAGCAAATAGTTAACTGTATAGCGATATATAAGCGATTTTTTTTCTCATTTTAATCTATCATTTTGTTGTGTACCTCTCAAAAAATTCGACTTTATTGTGAGTATTAATATATTTCTGATAATTATTGAACTTTGCGATGTCGTCGAACGTGGTCGAACTAAATATAATTTTTTCAATGTTGATGATATACGAAAGTTTACCAGTTAATGGTATACGAAAAAAGCGTATCAAGTTGAACAGACAACATTAAAGCAGCAAAAGTGGCGAAATCGCCCCGTCCTACACTATAATATATAATATGATAATATTAGTCAAAACATAATATTAAATATTGTAAGTAAGGTTTAGAGAGAAGTATAGAAGGATGTTAGAAAACGCAGTAAGTAGTATTGAATTTATATTGTACGCATTTCTTATTACATAAACTCGATGTTACTTACTATATTTAAGTAATAAATAATATTGACTCTATATATATAGTAAGTAACATTGAGTTTTTGCAAAGCAGTTTCTATAAATACAAAGCAACATTTTTAAGATACGAGTATTCAAACTATATTTATTATTGGATTTATGAAAATACAAGCTTTATTGTCAAATCGCTTTTGTCTACCTTTTCTAATAAGTACTAGATAGCTTATCGAGCTCAGTATCTTCGGGGCCATATTGCTGTCTTTATCGTTAGAATTGTAGCAAACTAATGGTTAGTATATATAGATAATGATTGATATTTATAAAGATGATCTGTTTGATACTTTTAATAAAATATTTTAATGACGCAATAAATGTTGAGTAATAATAAAGTTCTATTTAAATGCTTCAAAAATATTTTTTTTAAAGTTCTTAAAAAATAAAAAGCTTAAATTGAAAAAAAAAAAAGGTCTAGAAATCATTATTGTCATCGCCTTTATTAAATGCAAAAATCAATTGACTTAATTTTTTTTTAAAGCAAAGCCAAATTTTTTGATTCCATGTCGGATAATTTATTTATTATGTGACACACGGATACAAATTTGATAAATGCAATTTATTAAATTTGCTTATGACGTGTGCATCTTTTGATTTAAAAAATATTTTTGTAAAAAAGATGTAATTTTAAAGAACCAAATTACTTAATAGTGTTTATATTTACAAAGTATTATTTATTGTTTTTATTTTTAGATTTATAAATAAAGCCTTTATTAAATGAAAATTTAAAACGATCTAATAGTTCAAAAAGTTTCAAGACTACTTCTTGTCAAGGTAGGACACCTCACAAGACTTCTTTGTTTTTTTTTCTGCTCAAAAAAGTTTATGGAAAATTATTTTTAAAATGCAACTAAAAATTAGAACATTGTACGTTTTGCTTCTAGCAGCTTTTTTTCTCTTTTTAATTTACTATACCAAAACTGTTGCTATACCGACTTCAGAAAACTACACATTTAACGATTTGCTTAAAGTTGAAGTTGAAGATTTGTTAAACAAAATCGCTAGTCTTAAAGTTAAACTTAATGAAGAACGACAATTATACAAAAGTACGATGCAGTTTTAAGTCAAAACAAATTACGTGTAAATCTATCTATTAAATAAATTTAAAAAATTTATTTTAGAAATATATTTATAAGTAGAATATTAATTGTATATAATGGGACTTAAAAAATATTTTTTTTTCAAAACTACTTTATGTAGAAACAAATAGGCCGGTTATAAAAATAATTCTCCTTATGGAAACTGCGTTTTAAAACAATCGAGTAAAGTTGGTTTAAAACGATTTTTTGAAAACCAAACTTTTTTTACAAATATTTTTTGTCGTAACTTTTTTTTTTAAACTTTTTTTAACGGGTTTGTTAATTCCCGAAACGATAATTAGCTAACTTTTTTATGCTATTTAACTTTTATTTTAAAAGTTTCAACAATTACGTGATAAATAAATCTTGAAGTTAAATATATAAATTAAAAATATATTTGTAATTATACTCCGTATTTGAATGTAAAGAACTAATGCTAAAATTTATAGCTAAAACTCATTTATTATTTTGACACTCTCAAGAACTTGCGAACGGATTTTTAGTTAACGTTTCTTTAAAAAAAAATTTTTAACAATCCATTTTTCTCAAGAAGTTTATCCGATAAAAAATAATTTTATTGAACGTTAAAGTTTTAGTATTCAAAAAATCAACAGAAAGCTATTGCTTAAACTCTATGAGGCGGACTTGTAAACGGAGCACCCCACTAAGTTTAGAACACGTTTTATCGAAAATGATATTTTACTGACCTAATAAAATGAATTAAATTAATTTAAGTGTAATTACATCAATTGATCATAATTAATGAATAGAATCGAGTGTAAATGCTTTGACTTACCATTAGAGATTGACACAAAGAAATATACATTCATTAATTGACCGTAAGAATTAGGATAGTTTTGGTCACGATTATTAGTATTACATAGGAATGCGTCGTTTACAAGTCCGCTACTCTATGATTGCGAATATATTCAATGAGATTCAGGTTAATCTAGATTCAAATTTAATCTTAAAAGTAAATTAAGGCATTAAAGTTGCTATATTAAAAAAATTTTGAAAATTAAAATATACAATATAATATACAAAAAAATAAAAATATGATATATTAAAATAACTAACAAAACATATAAAACATAAATTGACTAAAAATAAAATATTTACCGCAAACTGCATAAATAGTTATTAGCTAATTTATATAAATTATATTCAGTTGTTTATTGTAATTAAACAAAGGACTAAAAGCTGATGATGTAAATTGAAATATTGATAAAAATTGCTTAATATGTACAACTTTTTTTTTAGAACAAGACGTTATTTCAAACATTTCAAAAGTTGCAATGGTAATCAAGATTTTATATCTAGATATGCCACAAATGTCTTTAAATAAACATCTCACTTGGGGTGCATTTGAATACAACTTCGATTAAAATAAAAACGCAAATTTACAAAAACTTCTTATAAGAAACTCTCTTTGTAAAGAAGATCGCTGCGATCTTGTTACTAAAAGTTTATACAAGTGTAAACAATAAAATGAAAAATTAAGATATATTCTAACATACCTTTATAAAATTAAAAAAGACATTAATAAAAATGAGGTATTTTGAAGTATATTGAAATTAAAATTGAATCATCTTGTCAAAGGTAAAGAAAAGTAGTAGTTAACAACCACAACAAAGATGTTTATAATCTAAACTGCAATCTGAAAGAGAAAAATGCGTTGCGAGGGTCATTATTGTAAAAAATCATTTTTTTTTTAAATATTTATATAAAAAACGACCTTTTGCTCCATTTTTTTATTGGCGTCTCTTTAATTGTTTGCACCCAAGCCAAATAAACTATTGTTCAGTTGCTTTACATTTAACAAGACAAAATATTGTTTTAGCAATTAATCGTCGCGCGATAAAAACTATTCATTAGTTTTTCTGCATTTTCAAACATTATCAATTTTTCTACGTTCTTCTAAAGATTTGATCTTTATTTTAAATCTATCATTACATTTTAAAGCAAGAATGTCAATGTTTATAAAACTAGTTCTTTTCATAACGCAATGTAATACTACGAATTTACTCGGGATTTGACAACCCCACAGGTCACACCTCCCGCATTATATAAATATATCACATAAACAATAGGGTGCTCTGGAAAAGTTTAAGTCAAAATTTTTTAACTCCCTGAATATTTTCTCATTTTTTTTAACATCAAATACAATAAAAATCATACTTTTGGATTTAGAAGCAACCCCAAGCCTTGCGACCGCAAAGAAAATGTTTTTCATATTATTTAACATTGAAAATGCTACCAAAAAATTGTAACATTGAAAGTATAACAAAAAATTATTCAAAATTAAGAAGAACTGTTGATCTCTAAATTTAAACTATAAAATAATGAAAAGTACTGCAAAACATAGTGCAATAAAGTAATTGTACAAGTTTTAAATGTGCTAAATTAGTACTGATACCTTTAATGAAAAAACATTTAGTAATGTTACATATTTCCTAGCGGTTCCTTTTTTAAAATCTTTTATCTTAACATCTTTTAGATCATGCCATAACTGGAGATCATTTGATGGTGTATCGGCTGCAGCATGGATGGCTAGCCCTTACGTAGAAGAGTGCATTAAGTATGCGAATACGACGCAGTTTTTTCATTTTATCTTGATCATAATTCAGCTGGTCATCAAAGGCATACATTGTAGCACTATATCTTACAGTTGCCATCCAGCGGGCATGATGATGGCATGATGGTATGCACCAGGTTTTAGTTAGTACAGCCAACGAGGAGGCGTTTCTCCTTAAAATATTAGCGTGAGTACTGCATATTTTCTGTAATCATCACAAGGCATGCTGTCACCCTCTGTTAAAGTCAACATTATAGGTTAAACAACTAATAAAGTTATGCAACTTTATAGGTTTTAAAACTTATAAAGTTGTATAACTTTAAAAGTTAAACAACTTGTAAATTATCAAAAACATATTTGTAAGTTACAAGCTAAATCAATTTATAAATATATTTTTTGAAATCGCAGTAAAACTATATCGTCGGGGATAGTGCAAAACCGCGTAACTAGCATTGGATAATATTGCGTATCTACAGTACATTTTTTTTACTGGAGAAATTTCAAACTTTATTTTAACTGATTTTGGGTTCATTTTAGTATAAATAGTATTATTCATGTTTTTTGTAATCTCAACAATAAATATTTGGTGTTAAAATTAATAATATCCAAATATAGTAGCCAATGCTAGTTACGCGGATTTGCACTATCCTCGACGATATAAAAGTTATGTTAAAATATCATTAGCTGATTTATGACAGAATTTTGTAGACCCATCATACATTATTCTGACTTTTATTGTCTTTTTGGTACTACTCAACATGTTTGGGACAAAGAATCAAAAATAGTTTACAACATAAGTAAAAATCATGTTTGATAGATCTGCAATAACAATTATAAATCAATTAGCAATATTATTTATCAAGGATAAAATTATTAAATAAAATAAAATTTCAATCATCACCAAAAAATATAATACTCATTTCCAAGACTAGTTTTTCAAAAGACATTTTAACATTTTATTTGTAGCCATGTTTTGACAATTTTTTTTTCTGAAGGCAAGTTGCCCGTTGTGAATGAAAATATTAAACTTTCTGTGTGTCATTCACAGTTGAACAGGAAGGCAGTTGAGTATAAATTTGTGAGCTTGATATCTGAATACCCTTAAGATTCAAAGAGCGTATCATGTTGTTGGTTTTTGGAGATACTTGGTCCACATCAAAGTTTTTCTCAACGGATAACAAAATATGTTATTATTTATTATATAATATGTTGTTATCAAGTCAACATATTATGTTGACTTGATTACTGATACGTATTATAAATTTAATTATTCATAATCCATACTATAAGGTAGTAATAACTAAATTACACAGGATTTTAATGTATATAGAGCATATAAAATATTTTTATATTGTTTAATAACAGCAATATCACCAATGCAATGCATGGTTGTTTAGTGTGTGGCCAGCATACATATTTTGCATTTAAAACTAATTATCTATAATACTTATGAGTGCTCTATGTAGTTGTAAGACATCCATAAAGTAAAAATGACATCCATAAAGTAAAAAAATAGACATGCAGTAAAAACTCTGCTGTGCGTATGCTTAACTCTGCTTTTTATTTTCTTTTGAAAGAAAGCTAAAAAAAAATAACTCTATTTATTTAAAAACTTTGGCATATAAAATTCGCCGAATGGTCACACACGAGCAGTGAACGCCTGAGGGAAGAAATGAAGTACATTAGAATAAAGGAGAATTATTTATTAGACAAAGCATATTTTGACAGTTGTCAAGACAAAAATAAAGATTAATAGAGGAATATTTAAAAATAAATAAGACAGGCTTAATAAAAATAAATAAGACAGACAATACAACCAAAACAGTACTCAACCATAGTAACAATAAAAAAAATTAAAAAAAAATAAAAACAAATAATAAAAAAAATATATATATATATTATATATATAAAAATAAAAAAATAATAAAAAAATAAGAAAAATTGTTTTATAAATACCAATATGAACTAAAATATACAAGAAATACATAACCAGTCAAAAATTTGTAAAACAAAAAACCATTCAACAAATTAAAAATATGCTAACAACAATGAAAGGACTAATAATGGAAAAAAAACATTAATGCTAATGTAAAAAAAACATTAATGCTAAACATCTCCTCAGAGTCGCGTCTATTATTACTGGCGTTTCGATGAGGATCAGCATTTATAACTAGTTTATCCCGTCAGACAAACGTCATCGCCACTTATGCTTTACCCCGCGACTTACGCCTATTCCATACTGCAGTTACTGTGATATGAGATTGGGAACAAGAAACCCTAAAGTCTAAGCCTCCCCCTGCCCCAAACGAGAGACCAACAAGTTAATGAAATATTTTTTGTACTACTTTTAACTAGACTAATATTTATCTATACATTTCAAATTTTATAGTAAAATATTCTAGTGTTTAAAAATTATGACCATATAAAGTTTAACCCCCCTCAATTTTAGGGGGTAGCTAATTTTATATGATCATAATTTTTGAATACTTTTTTAAAAAAATATTTTACTATGAAATTTAAAATTTATTGATGAATATATATCTAGTTGAAAATAGTATATAAAATATTTCTTCAACTTGTTGCTCTCACGTTTGGGGCAAAGAGGGCTATGATTTTAGGGTTTCTTATTCCCAATCTCCTATCACAGTAATTATTTTTGTGAAGAATTTTTTCGTGATACATATGGACGTAAAAAAATTTGGATTATTCTTTTCGTTTAAAAGTTGGTTATTTCAAACATTTAAAAACTTTCCTACGCCAATGTATATACTTAATACCGTAGATGGGGGTAACTAAAGCCACTTTCGAAATTCAAACTTCTGCCCAAGTCAGACCCTTTAATTTATAGGTTAAATAAATATTGCAAAACTTGGGTCTGTGGTCATATATTAAAGAAATATATTCATAAATTGCAGAAATACACATTTTTTTAATAAAAAAAATGAAAACATGGTGGCTTTAGTTACCCCTGGAAAAGGGGTAACAAAAGTCATCCATTAAAAAGCAATGTTTGGCTTTAGTTAGAGAGTGCTAGGGTAATTAAATCCAAAAATCATGCATCTGTAACAATAAAGAACCACTATTGACAAGAAAAAAGCTTTATTATTTAAGAAAAACATTAAAAAGAGACAAAAACATTATTTAAAATAGGTCTTGTTGAAATCAGTGCTTTAACGGTAGTTCATAAGGAAAAGTATAACTTCCTCTGTTTAATTTGAATGGTTTCACAATTGAAATGACGTCTGTTAACTGAATGTCCGTTTCGTCATCAACATTTGGAAATATATTGTCATTTCCTTTTGATTTGGAGCTTCTTCTAAAAAACTTTACTGTAACTTCGTTCTTCTGAAAACAAGTTCTAAGAATGACTCCATAGAACTGTTTGGTGGTTTCTTTTTTTGTGTTCTTATCAAAGATAAGCTCAACAATGACGTAAATATCAGGTTTAAGTTCTCCTTTAGAGACTCCTATTTTGGGGAGTTCGTCATAAGTTGTTTCTTCTAGTTGTAGATCTACTGGTATCTCCGATTCCAGGTCACTAAATGTTTCTGGATCCATATCTGAATTAGAGTCTCTCAAAGAATACTGGTCATCACTATCATCAAATGAGTCGGAATTCGCAAGTTTCTTATTATGTTTCAAAGTCTTTAGTTTGCTGTGGTTTTCCTTTGTTTTGGTATTCGGTGTATTGGACCTATTTGGTTGAGGATCATCATCATTGATCAGAATTATATCTTCAATCCCTTCAATCCCCTTTCCTGCTGGGACATTAAGTTTCCTTTTCTTCCGCTGTTTAAGAGGTTCGGTCTCTCTCTTCCTACTTTCTTCAAAAAAGGCTTTGATAGAATCAGTCCAGTTGTTGCTTGAATTAAGCTCTTCAGATACTGCGGTGGCATCACCATCAGGAAGCCTTTTCAGAATTTCATTTCGGTCTAAAGGTACAATACCAGCTGCCTTAAATCCACTTTTTAAGTTTTTGCTTATGTTTTCCTCTCCCAAAGCATCAAGGCACTTTTTCAGAAGTCTTGGAAACCTGTCTTTTGGAATAGAGCCACGATTAACCTCTTTCCACTCTGTCAAAAGCCACCTTTATGATGTGGCTTTAGTTACCCCATGTTGTGTATCACTGAAAAAAAAACATCACAACAAAAGAAAGAAT